TGCACCACTACACTCCAGCCTGGGTGACACAGCGAGACTCAGTCTCAAACAACAACAAAAACACTACTTATCCAGGCATTACGCCCTAAACACGGGAAATTAAGTAAAATATCAGTAATAGCAAGAGTGACCCACAAAGATGTACAGATGATCACATGACACTAATCTGGCAAAATCCAGATTTCTCTGAGAACCCAGTTTCTTAAACAAATGCATTTTCCAACAGTTTAGACTAAAGAGAATGCAGTAGGAAACAAGCACTGTTTATAGAGGAAAAGTAAGTAAATGTATATTAAGTGTACATATTATGTATCAACAGACAAATGCGCCACAGGGAAGTCAGACGCCTGTTCTGTGTCCACCCTGAAGTTCTTCTTCCATCCAGAAACACCTCTTTCTCCAGTTGAATTCACTTGGAACAGAGACTCAAGGAACTGAATCTACTTCCACCCCAAGATTACACATAGCAGCTAATTCAGTATCAATGTTCAACAGAAACTTGGCCGGAAGGAAACAGCCCTTTCTCTGGACAGTCAGCCAGGTTCAGTAAGTGAAGAGTTTGTTTCAGCCACTTGGCTCCCACCTTGGGTTTCTCCTTTTTATCTCTGTTCTCTGACTTGGGAGTTTTGTGGGACAGGAGAGTCTGAATTTCTTTCCAGTCTTGGTCTAGCTTCTCTGTGAGCTCGAGGGCATCTTCTCGTTGAGCTTGTCTCTCCCTCTGGGGAAAAAATAACAGACACACACCACATATCATTATATTGGACTTCAACCCAGAGGCCCAATGTCAGTGCCAAGGACACACACAGTGACCACTCAGTCAGCACCAAACGTTTCAACAGAGAAAAGAGGCCAAGAGAAATTAGTATTTTAAATGCAAAGCTACAAAATCTCATCAGATGGAAATCATTTCCTGCCATAAACCATTATTTTAGATACTCTGAGCAGTTCATGGCAAATGAATAAAAAAGTGATTTTTTGGGTACACGTCAGATACTAAAACCAGCAACAACAAAAAACCCATCCGTGCCAGGTGCGGTGGCTCACCCTGTGCTTTCCAACTAGGCCAAGGTGGGAGGACTGCTTGAGGCCAGGAGTTTGAGACCAGCCTGGTCGACACAGCATGATCCCCATCTCCAAAAAACATAAAACAATAATTAGCTGGACATGGTGGTGCCTCTTAGCTGCTAGAGGAGCTGAGGTGGGAGGATCACTGGATCCTTGAGCCCAGGAGTTTGAGGCCACAGTGAGCTTTGATCGTGCCACTGTACTCCAGCCCGGGCAACAGAGACCACATCTCAAAATAAAACAAAACTTAAACCAAAAAAAGGCAAAAGAACTAAAACCTGTCAGAGGTATATGCTTTATGTGATTTTTAAAATTCCTATTCACAATAAATGCTTTTATTAAACTCATATAAAAGATTAAACACAGCCTAAAAATGTACAGGGAAAAAAAGCTCGAACACATCTTGGTGAGACTGTCTTACCATGGAGAAGATGGTCAAGAACACTGGCTAACCCACCTTCTCTTGTTTAGACTTGGCAATGAGCTCTTCAATCAGCTCCTTCCGGGACTTGGCTTTCCCCTGCTCCTCGTCTTCCTGTTGAGTCTTCTCGTGTAGGAGCCCGCCGCCGCCTCCGAAGTGGGCAGCGGTCAGCTCAGCTGGGGCGAAAGGCAGAAACCCCAGTGAAGCCCAGCCCCGGGGGGGAGCGAAAGGCAGAAACCCCAGTGAAGCCCAGCCCTGGCGTGGGAAGCGTTTCCTTAGCACTCTGCCAGCGCTTCCCCCACAGTGCTCTGGAAAATTCCATATTTGAGAAAAAAATGCTCACACGCAACAGCCTGGCCTGAGACCACAGGCACAATGGCACTTGAGAAATACCCAAGGTAAGCCACTCTGAGAAAACCCAGACCCATTACACTCCCAACTGGCTATAACCCAAGTGGCTGGAAACACCGAGCACCTATTTTTGATGGTGCTGGTTCTAGTGAACACTGGCAAGCCCAGAGCAAGCTGGCTCCAGGGTCTTGGTGGGGGTGTCGCCTAGGATCAGTGGCACAGTCTGTGTCCCTCCCAGCTCCCTGGGCAGGGCCTAGAGACTCCAAAGCCCTGAGCTAAGGGCAGGAGCAGGAATCATCTACCAGGGCCACCGATCTTCAGTCTGCCCTACTCACTAGGGCAGAAGAGAAATTAAACATTGTAGGAAACATCACATTTGGAATAAAAGAAACCTTTAAAAATCCAATTTCTCAAATGAAAAAGAGGCTCAGATGGGAAATGATATATCCAAAGGCCCACATCATAACAGAAACAAATGTTAAGATGGTTTCTCCAGCTTGGGCCTCCAGCATGCCAGCAGCTCCCTGACCAGCAGGGCCCTAGCCTGGTGCCTGCCTGGGCTCCCCACCTCCACTCCCTTCTCAACCCCCTCTCTCCTTTCTCTTCATCCCTCTCTGACTCTCCCCTGCGTCTCCTCTGAAATGCCGTCTTGCCTGAGTGATGGGTCAGTTCTCAGTCTTCCTCTCACTACCAGCAGTGCTCAACACATTCACCACTCGTTGTAGAAAAGCTTTCTCTTCTTGGCTTCTAGCCCAGCCCTGCCACCAGGGCCTCACTGTCTCCTCTTCTCCAACTCTTCAGGTCGCAGTTCCTGCTGTTTGTCCTCTAACTACTCGTATTCCCTTGGCAGCCTCAGTCAGCCTCTGTGCTGACAGCATCCAGTTTCCGTCTCCAGCCTGCATTCTCCCTGAACTCGACTGCACCTCCAGCACCGCACCGTGGATGTCTAGCGGGCATTGCAAACTCCCCCAAACCCATCTATCCCAGTCTTCTCATCGCAACAAATGGCAATTCTATCTTCCCAGGTGCTTAGGCCACACACCCTTGGAGTCGTCCTTGATGCCTATCTCCCACACCTGTATCCAGTTTGCTGGGAAATCCCACTGGCCTTGTCTTGTCACACTACGCGATTCCTTGGCTCCAACACCCAGACTCCTTTTCTCAAGTAAAAGCCAAAATCTTGGTCAGGCATGGTAGCGCACACCCGTAGTCCCAGCTACTCTGGAGGCTGAGATGGGAGGATTGCTTGAGCCCAGGAAGCCAAGGCTGCAGTGAGCCGTGGTCATGCTACCACACTCCAGTGAGGCTGAACAAGACGCCTCAATGGCACGTGATGCCCTTTCCTGCTTTTTCCTCCACAGCACTTCCACCTTTGATCAGACAGCATAATTTGGTGACACATTTGTTTAATGTTTGGGTCTCCCCATAAAATGTGAGCTGAAGGAGGGCATGACTTTCTGTTTTGACACTGCCATTTCTCTGGAACCGAGAACGGTGCCTGGCACATAAACCAGTATTGGTAAGTGAATGAATGAATGATTCCTGATTTCCAGAAACGAATGATTTCCTTCCTGGAAAACTAAGCATATCAGAAAACACAATTTAGTACCCTAGTAATCCAAGGTCGACCACGCTATTTTCTTTTTTTTTTCACTTTTATTTTAGGTTGGGGGCACATACGAAGGTTGTTACACAGGTAAACTCGCGCCACGGGGGTTTGTTGCACAGAGCATGTCATCACCCAGGTACTAAGTCCAACGGTGATCTTCTCTGCTCCTTTTCCTCCCTCTCTAGATCCCCATGCCTGCTGTTTCCTTCTTTGTGTTCAAGAGTTCTCATCATTTACCCCACTTACAAGTGAGAAAGTGTGGTATTTGGTTTTCTGTTCCTGAGTGAGTTCGCTAAGGATGATGGATGGCCTCCAGTTCCATCCACGTTCCCACAAAAGACATGATCTCATTCTTTTTTATGGCTGCATACGTGTACCATCATAATAGTTTCTTAAAAGATTTGCAAAATGCCAACTAATAAGCTTGTATTAATTATATAAAAGATTCAGAAAAGGATTATTAAAAAAAAAAGGAAATCCTCCCTTAATATTTGTATTAGGATTTGATTAGAAAGATTTTTTATGTATCTATTTATTTTGAAGTCCTAACAGTATATTTTACAGTAGGTGAAATGACTGTATTCAGTGTAAAACAGCACACAGCAGCTACAATTTAGGAGTCAGGCTACCTGGGAATTGAAGCCCCGCCCCCTCTGGTTACCAAGCCTGAGCAAGTACCACCAACTCTTGTCCTTAGTCTCAGCTTCCGCAGCGGTAAAGTGCTCACGGGGTGGTTTTTAAGATGAAATTCTCGTAATCTAAGAGAACAGGCCATGTGACAGTTGAACAAAACAGAATTTGTCTCCTCAGGACAAATTCAGTGTATTTATTTTCACATGTAAGAGGCTTTTCTTTTATAAAAATTACCTGGGTTTTGGTGAGCTCATAATCAAAATCAAAGGATAGGAAATCAGGAATGAATAGCTCAATTCCCAATAGCTCAATACCTGTTACTCGGAGAAACTGAGTCCTACTTCTGCTCTAGTCAGCGGCGCACCACAACGCCTACCCTAGCCACGGGCGCACCACAACGCCTACCCTAGCCACGGGCGCACCACAACGCCTACCCTAGTCAC